GATTCAGGAGATAGAAATTCAGATGTTTCAGTCATGTCCAACTCTTTGTGACCGTGACCCCATTTTGGGGTCATTCTTGGCAAAGATACTGGAGTGGTTTGCCATTTCCTTTTCCAGCTCATTTTACAGATGAAAAACTAAGGCATACAAGGTTATGTGACTTGCCCAAGGTCACACAGCTAGTAAGTGTCTATGAGACCAGATTTGAATTCACAGAGATGAATCTTCCTGATTCCAAACCCAGTGCTCTATCCACCATACCACCTAGCTTCCAAAGTACAAGTACAAATAATAAAACAATACCTATTAATAAGTTTTAATGAGAAACACAACACATACATATACAGTTCACTAATACAAATATATACAAAGTTAGAGAAAATGTAGGTTGAAAGGGAGGACACTAGCAGTTGGAGGAATTAGGAAAGATTTAATGCAGAAAATGGTACCAAAAGACCAATCTTAAAATAAGAGGACTCAGTGAGGTGGAGGCAAGGGGGCATGGGGATTGGTCAGAGCAAAGGCAAGGAGATGGAGTGTTATGTATGAGTAATGGTGAGAAAGCATTTGGTTTGTAGAGTACAGGAGGTCAAGTAATATCTGATGAGAATAGAAAGATGGTTTGGGGCTGTGATGTGTAAGGTTTCAGAAGCCAAACAGGAGTTTGTCTTTTATCTTAAAGACAATAGGAAGCCACTAGAGTTTAATGAGTAGATCAGTGACTTGATTAGATTTTGGATTAAAGTAGGGAAAGACTTGGGGCAGTGACTTTTGCAATTGGTAAAGAAAGAAGCATGGTATGCTAGAGATGGGGGTAGAAAGGGCAAGATTTGGCAGCCGATAGGATGTGTGGGGTGGGGAGAGTGAAGAGTTGAAGATAAAATGCTGAAGTTTCAAATGTGGGAGGTTAGAAGGATGGTGGTACCATCAATAGAAATAGTAAAGTTTAGGTGGTGGTGGTGGCAGTGGCTTTGCAGGGAAAGATAAGGAGTTTTGCATATGTTTAGTGTTTTTTTCTTTCTTTTTCTTTTTTTGGCTAGGCAGTGGGGTTAAGTGACTTGCCCAAGGTCACACAGCTAGTAAGTGTTATTTGTCTGAGGCCGGATTTGAACTCAGGTCCTCCTGACTCCAAGGCCAGTGCTCTATCTACTGTTCCACCTGGCTGCCCCCATATGTTTAGTTTGATGTCTTCAGAGCATCTTGTTTAAAACAACCAATAGGCAGTTGGTGACATGAGACTGAAGCATAGGGGAGAAACTGGGACCAAGTGTATAGATCCTCGGAGTCACCTTCATAGAGATAATTAAGCCCATGGATTCTGGTGAGTTTACTGAGAGAGGTTATAGGGAGAGAAGAAGAGGGCATAGGACAGAACTTGAGGAACAACAACATTTCGGATGTGTAATACAGATGATCAGGAAGGAGACTGAAAAAGAGGGGTCAGGTAAGAAGGATGAGACTTGAGAAAAGATCATCACATTTTTCGGGTGTGATGACTTGCCAAAGGGCTCAACCAAGGGCCAAGGAGTGAGAAATTCAGAAATGGAGGCAGTAAGTAGACTGATTTTTAAAAGAGTTTGACTGAGAAAAGGAGGACACTATGTAGGAGGAGAGCTTAAAGGAATGGTTAGGCATAGTGAAAATATTTTTAAGGATGGGGAAACCTTGGGCATGTTTGAAGTGAGTAGGGAAGGAACCAGTAGATAAGTAGAGGTTGACGATTTAGGAGTTTGGATGAATGTAATCTGTTGGAGAAGATCACACCTCCCTTCAAACTCAGATCTTGAATCTTTCCCTATCTGTGGGTTCACATTCACATATAAGGGGTTGGCCTTGGGAAGAAACAGGATCTACCTCTTTGTCAGAGACTTGGGGACAAGAGAAACAGGTGGGAGAAGACATCAAGGAGTTTTAAGAAAGTAGGAGAAGAGGGCAGCTAGGTGGCACAGTGGATAGAGTACCAGCGCTGAAGTCAGGAGGACCTGGGTTCAAATATGGTCTCAGACCAGACACTTGACATTTACTAGCTGTGTGACCCTGGGCAAGTCACTTAACCCTGTTTGCCTCCGTTTCCTCATCTGTAAATTGAACTGGAGAAGGAAATGGTAACCACCCCAGTATTTTTGCCAAGAAAACCTCAAAATGTGGTCACAAATAGTCACGAGACAACTGACAGGAGTGAGCAACAACAGGAGAAGAGGGAGCTCGTATGAAGGGTATTTATTTTCTTATTTAGAAAAGAGGCAAGCAAGGTCCTTAGCAGAAGGGAAGATAAAAGATACTTGAGAAAAGAAAATGTTTGAGGAATAGATGCACAGAGTTGGGAATATGATGAGAGAACAGGAGATGGGGGCTGAGGACAGGTTTTTCCTAAGTAGCCAGTGATTAATAAATATAGGGGATGAGGGAGAAGGACAGCAAAAGCCATGGGAGTAGAAAGTGGATAAATGATCTTTTCAGATAGTTCTTATTTCTTCCTCATTGGAATTATTTCCTTTGTGTCTTCAGAATTTTATTCTTGGGAGTTTGTAGATGTATAGTCTGTGAGATCCTACCTATTTTACCTTTAGAAATCTGCTTTCTCAAAGTTTGGAGTACTTGTTAGATTATGCCCAGCAATCTACTCTGTAGCAGATTCTGGGATATAGTCATCTCTTCCCCTATGAAGCTCATCCTTTTCACCCTAGCAGCTAACTCCTGTTACTGAGACGCAGATACAGGATTGAATTTTCTCTTGTTGATTCTTCATCTTTTGAAGGATGAAAATATGTTTAAAGCAACTCAATCTATAAAGAATTAAAATACCTACTATATAATAGTTGCTATGCTAGGTGAGGATACAAAGTAAAAAATGGAACATTTCTGTACTTTCAAGGAGCTTATGTTGTCTTGGGAGAAACAAGCACTTGTGTGAGCATGTGTGTGTGAGAGAGAGAGAGAGACTATGTGAGTGATATGGGAGATAACTTGGGCAAAAGCGCAGATGTAGTGGGGTTTTTTTGTTTGGTTTTTTTTGTGAGGCGAAAAGCAAGAAAGCTAGTTTGGCTGAACCATAGAGACTCTGAAGTGGGGGAGTAATATAGTAAGGCCAAAAGAGTAGGTTGGACTTAAATTGTGAATAGCCTTAAATACCCAACAGAGGAGTTTGTATTTGCCTCTAGAGGTAATAGGGAATTGCTGGAATATATTCAGTGGGGAAATGACTTCTGCTTTAGGAAAATCATTTTGGTACTTAGGTAGAGAGAAGGTGGATTGGACAGGGGAGAGACTTGAGGTCAGCTAGGAAGCTAATAAATAATCCAGGCCAGAGGGTGGTCTAGGGTGTGATAGCTTTGTGAATGCTACTTGTTTGGGTGGGAGAGATGTTTATGGAGGTGGAAATGATCGAACTTGGCAACTGAATGAATGTGTGGGGTAAGGGAGAATGAGGAACGAATTAACAAATAAAGCGTTTATTAAGTTCTTACTATGTGATACAAATAGAAAAGTAAGACAGGCACTCCTGTCAAGGAGCTTCCATTCTACAACATATGGTAAGGTCCTATGTCTTTAGGGTTCAGCAGCAAAGCAAATGTTAATTCCTCATTTAATAAACTAATGAAAATTATATCAGTTTCTGATGTTGAACCATTTGATAGTGCCTTGCAAGGACTTTGGTGGCAACACCTTTCTTCTCTGCGTCTTTGGTAGCTGTGGCTGTAGCACCTGCAGGATCAGCTGCCAAGTTGCACCTCCCTAGGGGTTGTTTCTCAGATTGAGGGCAAATTGGAAGCATTGCAGTTCCCAAGCCTCTTGTGTAAGAGTCCTGGGAGGAATTAAGCATACTTTACTTGTAGATTGTAAAACTCGGTGATGGTGACCTTCATAGGAATAGGGAGGTCCAGAGGGAAGATGGGCTTGGAAGTGGGAGGGCAGGGAAAGACAATGAGTTCTGTTTTGGATATGCTGAGTTTGAGGTGGCCGGGATATTATAGTAGGTGATACAGATAGAAATGATAATAAAACTAGTTAATAGAGCTGGGGGTCATTTGCATAGAAATGATAGTTTTTCCTTCTCTGAAAGAGAACATATAGAGAAAAGACAAGAAGGTCCCAAGCAAAGTTTAGCAGCCAAAAGTTAGAGGCCATGATAAGTGAATGGTGGTACAGCAAAAGGATACTGAGGAGTAAAGCTGTCAGATGGGTGGAAATACAGAATAGTGTCACAGAAGCCCAGATGCAGAGAGTATGTCCAAGAGGGAGAAAGTTGGTAAATGATGTCAAAGGAAGCAGAGGTCAAGAAGTATTGGAAAATTGAGAAAAAGCCCTTGGGTTTGGAAATTCAGATATCACTGGTATCTTTGGAAAGCTCAGTTGCAGTTGAGTGATGAGAGGTAAAAAGGCAAATTTTAAAGGAGTGATAAGAGAGAAAATGGAGTTAAAAGTAGACAGCTTTTTCTGGGAGTTTGGCTGTAAAATGGAAGAGGACTTTAGAATATAGCTTGAGGAAATGCTAATGTCAAAAAAGGGTTCTTAACAGTAGGGGAGACCTGGGCATATTTGAATGCAGAAGGGAAGAAGTCAGTAGATATGGATTGAACTTGGCGATGGGGAAGGGATGATTGATTGTGAGGCCAGTTTGCTAGAGAAGGGAGGAATGGATGGGATCAACAGTTATATAGAGAAGAAGCATATCTCCATCAGACCAGTGGTTAGATAGAGGGCTCCAGCAGGGATGACTGAAGTTTATCATTCCTATATGCCATGTTTCTGTGCCAGGTTTGTATTTTGTGATCTTCAGATGCTATTATTAAATAAGTAAACTACTGCTTTATTACTTTTCACAGTGATAACTGTTCTGGTCAACAGATTCTTGAGCACTTTACAAAGAAGTAGGCCGTTGACCTTTGGTTTTGGTATAAAATCGCTTGAGACAAAGTAATTTCAGAAGTATCATGTTAATGCTTAAGTTTTTTACCTTTTCAGATATTGTTTTGAACTTTTTGTTATCTTACGTTTAGCTCTTTTCACTCATGGATATGAAGCCTCCCATTTCTCGGGCTAAGATGATTCTCATTACTAAAGCTGCCATCAAAGCCATTAAGGTAAGATAAACACATTTTATAAAATATCATTAAAATGATAATTTTAGTTTTGTTTTGTTTTTAAGGCAGTTGGGGATAAGTGACTCGCCCAGGGTCACACAGTTAGTAAGTATCAAGTGTTTGGTCAGAGGCTGGATTTGAACTCAGGTCCTCCTGACTTCAGGGCCAGTGTTCTATCCACTGTGCCACCTAGCTGCCCCTGATCTTAGTTTTTAAAACTTATAAGTAGTGGGGAATAGAATTTTGCTTTTACTTCAGGACTGTTTGTCTAATATCATGCTACATATATTGCTTACTAGAGTTTATAAAGGTCGTTAATGGTAATTACTATGGCTCCATTTAAGTTTTATTGGCTAAAATATAAAAATATAGCCATTTGTATTAGAAAATTGGTCTGCTTTAATTTTCTGCCAGAGGTTGGTTTTGTCTCAATCTGTTGACTTACATTATGAGATAGTTCTAATGACTGTTAATATTATCTGCATGATTTTTAAAGTGTAATTATATTTTCTATGTAAAAACATTTGTTAAAAAAAGTAAATCAAGCAAGGATATTAAAATTGACCAATAACTATTTTTTTTCCTTCAGCTTTACAAGCATGTAGTCCAGATTGTAGAAAAGTTCATCAAGAAGGTAACTAATCTTTCTCTTTGGGTTTTTAGTTTCAATTTTATTTTTGTTACTGTTTCTACAATTTTGTACTATCAAACATTTATGTACTCAGACAATTTGAGTGATTTTGCTTTCAGAGTCTTTTCAGTAAAATAGTTAATGAAATCTTAATGTTCCAAAATAACTGTTAAAGCAGTGTTTTCTGCCTGTAATTAGTATGTTCAGTGAATCTCAGTCTATGAATTAAAGTTGTTTTTAAATATCTTCAAAATAATGCGTTTTATTTTGTAGTCATAAAATGTGAAGTGGTTATAAAAGTGACTGCAATGTTTACATTGTATATTTAGCTAATATAGTTTTACCTTATTTTCAACAGAAAAATTATTTTTTAGGGAAAATAATATTTCTTATTAATATTGATTTTTAAAAAAGTAAATAATCCATATAACTTTCATATCTCTGTATTCCTTTTTTTTGTAGTAGATATAAAATAAGAAATTTTATGATGCTCTGCTACTTTCTACTTCCTGTTTAAAAGGCGTTAATTTGATTGAATTACAGAATGCGTGGCTATATTTTGTTACAAGGGTACATGTTTGTGTTACTTTTGTTTTTTAAAAATGTCTCATGGATGATCTTTTCTTTGTGGATATCATTGTCACTTCACAATGACCTTCCTTCCTCCACTGAAGCCCTTCCTTGTAAAGAATAAGTACAAATAAGCAAAATAAATATTGATCATGAATGAAAATGTGTATCTGAACCAGGTAGTCTGTTACTTCTCTTCCTAGTGGCAGAGTATGTTTCATTATTAATCCTCTGAAATCAATAATTGATCAGAATTCTGAATGTTTTCAATATTGTTTTCCTTTATGTCATTGTGGCCACTTTGCAAATTGTTACTCGTGGTACATATTTACGAAGAATTCAGTTTTTCTTTCAAGTTGTTCTTTGCAGTATTTCTGTAAGATAAAATTATAGCCTTAAGTAGTATACTTCTTGGTGTCTTTCTGCTTTTCCCTACCACATTCGTCTCTGTCTACCCTCTATTTCTCTTTCTGTTTTTCTCTCTACCTTTTATTCTTTAATTCTGTTCTCTCCCCTGACTTTTAATATGAACTTCTTGAGAGCAGGGGCTGTTTGACTTTTGTTTTTGTATCCCTCATCCCCTGTCATAGTGCCTGGCTACGATGACAACAATATAGTAGGTGCTTAATAAATATTTGTTGGTTAAATTGGTTAAACATACCACCAGTGCCAAAGGCATTGAATGCTCCCACTTACCCTGATAGGGATAGGGACTGGACCTGTGATTTCGCTGGTGCAGGTAACTCCTTGGTGAAGAAGCTCCCACTGCCAGTGTTGGTTAGCACCATCTCTGTGACTTATAATCTTACAGCAGGGGTTCTTAACCTTTTTTGTGTTAAGGACTCCTTTGGCTAGTTAGCAAAACCTATGGGCTCCTCAGAATAATGTTATTAAATGCACAAAAATGTAAAAAAAAATTACAAAGGAAACTGATTGTATTGAAATAGTTATAAAAATATTTAAAAAGATAAATTTGTGGACCCCAGGTTAAGAACCTGTGATTTAGAACCAGAAAGGAAATGAGAGGTCATATAGCCCAATCATGTCATTTTACAGATGAGAAAACTGAAGCTGAGAGAAGGAAAAAGACTTGTCAGATATCACGTAGGCAAAGTTAGGATTTGATCCCAGCTCCTTGGATTCCAAATCCAGTGAGAAAAGCAGTGTCAGTTGTTAGATGCTGAAGACTAGACCAAACACATATAACATACCCTAGGCAACAGAGAAATTCCGTAGGATTTTAATAAAGTTACAATATTTCAGAAATGGTATTTTTGAAAGTTTATCCCATCAGGGTTGACCTGTAGACCTGAAGGAATAATATGATTGGTATTGTACTTAGCACAGTACACTGCAAATAGTAAAAATAGCCATGTAATAAATATTTGTTGAATAGAATGTTGAAAAGAGCTCTAAATTTGAAAGAGTAGGCTGATGTCATATTTTACCAATACTCAGTTTACAGTTATCAAAACATTTTGATATACATCATTTGTGTCATTGCTACAACCTTGCAAATACTAGGCTTTGATAGAACATCCCAGTTTTAGAGATGAACAAAAGCTCAACATTTGTGGTTACTGCAAATCTTCTGATTCTAACTGCATTGTTTTTGTTTGCAAAAACCTCACAGTTTTTATGTAATCAAAATTGTCCGTTTTTTTCTCCTGTGATAATTCCTTGTTTGGTCAAGACCTTTCTGTCTATACTTGTCAAAGGCATCTCCTTCCCTGTTCCTCTGATTTGTTAATGTTATAACCTTTTATAGCTAGATCATATATCCATTTCAGGCACATTGTAGTGTATGTTGTGAGTTTGGGATCTAAACTAAATTTCTCTCTGATAACTTTCTAGCTTTCCTAACATCAGTCTTTGGATATATCAGCCACCGTGCTATTCAGTTGTTTCTGGTTCTTGGGTACCTAACCTGTTCTGTTTATAGACTTTTTTATTTTTTAACAAGTACCAGGTAGCTTTTGTTAATGACTGCTTTATAGTGTAGCTTTATGTATCTGATACTACTATCTCACCTTTTCCCCCTCCTTTTTTTTGTTATTACATCTTTTGAGATTCTTGCCTTCTAGATGAATTTCATTACTATTTTTCCCTAGCTTTGTAAAGTAATCTTTGGTATTTAATTGGTATGGCACTAAGTAAATTAATTTAGGTAATATTGTCGTTTTATATTCGAATGGTCCAACCTGAACAGTTAACATATCTCTCCAATTATTTTGGGCTTCATTTCTGTGAAAGGTCTTTTATAGTTATGTGTTTATAATTTCTTCGTCTTGGTAGGTGAACTTAAGATGTTTTATACATTCTGTAGTTATTTTGAAAGAAGTTTCTTTTTTTCCTGCTGGGTTTTGTTGGCAGTACATAGAAAGGCCAGTAGTTTTTGTTGTTTTATTTTAATCTGGCTTCTTTACCAAAGTTTGGGTTTGTATTAAGAGAGATTAAGTGGCTTGTCCAAAATCATACAGATGGTAAGTGGCAAAGTAGGGACTATAATAAAAGTCTCTTGATGCCTAGTTCAGTAATCTTCTAATACTGATTGACTAAAAAATATTAAAATTAGACTTTATGTAAACTGTTTTTATTGTAATAATCAATAACTCCCTTTTTATGTTTGCAGTGTAAACCAGAATATAAGGTTCCAGGACTGTATGTAATTGATTCAATTGTGCGGCAGTCTCGTCATCAGTTTGGAACAGACAAGGATGTTTTTGGGCCAAGATTCTCTAAAAATATAACAGCCACATTCCAGTATTTATATCTCTGTCCATCTGAAGATAAGGTATAGTTTAAATCTTAAAAATTAGAATTCAAAATCTTGCAGATTCTGAATGTTGTTAATCTAAATTTAATAATGTTGGTTGTCTGTTAAAGAAACACAGTCATGTCTTTGTCCCTTGGATAGCATTCCAGATTTTCTAATTTAGTTCTCTATGAGACATGAAAAAGTTATTTTTTTTTCCATTTTTAAAAATGTCCATCTTTTACATAACTTTACTTTATAGAAATGTGATAGAAAAATATTAAGCATGACTTCCTTGCAATTTAACTTTGCTTTTTTTGGGAAGGTCATGTGAACTGTATCTTAGGATACTGAAATAACTGGGAGATAGAATTACTGATCCTGTCATTTATCATTGAAAGATGGTGGAAAATGAGAGAAGTCACAAGACTTGGAGAAAAGTAAATGTCCCAAATTTCACAAGAAGAGAAGGCAATAAAGACTACAAACTATAGGCCAGTGATTTTTGGCAGAAATTTTGGAGACTTTAGGACTAATTAGAATTCTTTTGTGATCATTGGGAAATTGAACTAGTGGTCATTAAAATTCAGCTTGGGTTCATCAAAGAAAGGTTTTCCTAGAATAAATTAATTTCTGTTGCCTCTATTATAAAACATAAACTTCTGGCGGGCTTTTAACACCTTCACAATTTGGCTCCAACCTACAGTTTCAGTCTCATTATAATGTATTACCCTTCCCAGATTCTGTGGTAACAACCAAAGTGACTGTCTCTCCTCACAAAGACTTGCCCATCCTCTTGTCTCCATGTCCCCCAAAAAATCCTGTGCCTGGACAGCATACTCTCTTCACCTCCATCTTAGAAATCTTCACTTTTTTTCAAGATACAGCTCAAGCACCACTTTCTGTATGAAGCCTTTCCTGATTCTCCCAACTCAGTGTCCTTCCCTTGTACATATTTTGTATTTATATTTGTATAAATCACACTTCAATTGCTTAATAAATGTTTTTGATAATTGATTTCTTTTTTTCTTACTGGTGGTAGATCAAGTGAATGCCGTAGATAATTTTACTTAAATTTTATCATATTATTGACCAGTCTCATGCTACCCTCGTAGACAATGTAGAGAAATGTGGGCTTCATGATATACTGGATTCAGAAGTGGTTGAGTGTGTAATAATTAATGGACCTATGCCAACATGAAGGGAAATCCCCAGTGCAGTGTTCCAGGAATATGATTTGACATGATGTGGTTAAACATTTTGATTGGTGACTGGGATATGACCTTACAGAATATGTTTATTAAATTTGCACATGACACAAAGCTAGGAGGAAAATAGCTGACAAGTTGGATGATAGATTCCAGAGAACTCTCTGAAGTCGAATGTAATAAGCATACAGTGGATAAGTATACTATAATTTTGGGTTGATTTTGACATTTTTCCTAACTAGTTCATGATTCTACTACATATAGAAAGCTTATTTGGAGAACAGCAATTATTTGTTAGGGGTGTTAGAGGAGGAAATCTTCAGATAGGACTAAATGAAAGATCTGTGAGATTGTTTCATTTAGCCTACCATTTCAGAATTATAGTCATGAGTTGTTTTTTAACTCTTTCTTTTCTCAAATATCACATTCACTATACTCAAAAAAGCCAATTTCTGCTAATATCAAGGTTATACCATTTAGCTGGACTGATTTTATTTAGCCTCTGTCCTAGAATTCAGTCAGTATGGCTTCCACTTTGTCCCAGTACGTCATTACCTAATCCTGCCTCTTTTTGTTGAATTTTAAGAACTTTACTTCCTTACTGAAGGAGTTTACTTGCTAGCACTTTTTCCTCTATTGTCCCTGAAGCAGTAAAAATGATTCTTCATGTAAACAGTCAGAAAATTCCCATGAAGAACGAATCAGGATTTTAATGCCATGTTATAAAAGAACCAGCTTACTTAATTTTTTTTAACTTGCTAACTAGTTTGTAATTTCTTTGCTTTATTTCCACATTAAAAGTAGCTTAAGTACAAATTTGCATTTTTCTACAATTTCTATAGTAAGTCATGTACTCTAGCTAACTTAGCTTTTTCTTGTTTATACTACAGTATCATATGGTACTCTTATTCTAATCATATATCTTATAAACCAAAAGGTTTTCAGTTAAGTAAATGTTACTTTCCCTCTTTTCTTTTCTTGCTTTATCTGTCAACTTCCTTCTATTTCTCAAATTCTGTACAAATTTGATTTTATATAAATAGGATCTAATTCTTTAAATAATTAGCTGTCTATTCAGAGCAAATCAGTATTTAACTTGGTTTCATTGCCAAAGTAGGCATGGGGGATGGTGGTAGAAAATGGTTATTCAATGTATAAGAGTATTCAAGATGAAAGACTTCTCATAATTCTGATACCTATATATCATGAATACTCTCTTAAAGAAGAGAGAAGGAACTAGATATAAGCGCCAAATGACATCTCAAAAACTTGTCTGTTATTTTCTAGTCAGTTTCAACTTATCTAACCATCAACTAGCAAAGAATTAAAATCAGTAAATTAGAAGTGAAGATAAAATTGAGTAGTCATTACATGCAGTTACAGCATTGCCAGCAAGCTGTTGATTAAAAGTAAAAAATAGATTGAAATTATCACCATTTCTTAAAGAAGTTGAATTGGTGTAAAATAACACATTGAGAAGGCCGACTTGAAATAACCTCTGAGAATTAACTTCTGATCTTGTGAAAGATGTGACAGCAAAGATCAATACATGTTTGGAATACAGGTTCATTTGTAAAACATTAAAGAGTAATAAGATCTCAGCCTCAGTTTCCCTGTTTGTAAAATGTAAGCGATAGCACCTACCTCATAAAGTTGATTTAAGAACAAAAGGAGACAAAATGAGATAACATCTAAAGCAATTTTCAAACCTTAAAGCACTATACAAATGCTACTATTATTATTAGTATGATACGAGGTAACAAGTCTCACAGAATTGAGAAGTAATGGAAGGGAGGCGAAATGATATTGTGTAATAGCTTGTTATGAAATTTTATAATTCCCAGTGCATTTGTAGATAAAATTGGGAGGATCACCAATGCGACAGATATGGTAGTATTTCTGTGGGGTTCTGTTCTCATCAGCAATAACATTATAATCACAATATTTCAGGAGGTAAAGTTGAGGCTACTGGCTAGACCTGACCAAATAAGCGTAGAAAATACATCTAAGAAGCAATACAGTTTTGATGGTGTCCAAGGATTGGTTATCCAGATACCAGAAAGAGGGACAGAAAATATCAAATGGAAGAAGTTCGTAAGACATCTAAAATTCAGAACCCAAATATCTGTGTTGTCATATCTGTAAAATTTTATGATTTTATATATTTGATAGCATTATTGATAAAATAGTGATCAATGTTAGCTACATTTAGCACTCTTAAGATTTACAGGGCACTTAATTTATATTTCTTTATTGATAAGTATTGTGTCCACCACATGAATTCAGTTCAATTCAACAACCTTTTATTGGTTTGTTTTTTGTTTGTTTGTTTTTGTGAGGTAATCAAGGTTAAGTGACTTGCCCAGGGTCACACAGCCAGTAAGTGTCAAGGGTCTGTGGTCAAATTTGAACAGGGCCAATGCTCTCTCCACTGCGCCACCTAGCTGCCCCATAATAACCATTTATTAAGCCTCAGGCATTGTATGTGCCAGGCACTACTTTGGTCATGAAGGGGAAAAAATGAAAATGATCCCTGACCTCAGAAAATTTTATATTCTGCTGGGGTAGGGAAGAAGGTACAATTTGTATTCCACCACAAAAAATTCACAGCTAACGCTTCAACAAAGTAAAAGTCCTTGAAAATAGTTGAACAAAACAGCGTGAAATAGTGGTTGTGACTGAAGTAAAGGGATACTGTTTGTTAAAGGAAAGGTGAGGTGCATATTTTAGTTTTTCTAAGTTAGGACCAGCAACTATAATTAAAATTTTGTCATTTAAAGTTGTCATTTATATAATTGCAGCTAATAGTTATATTCTTTTGATTCTGCTGTCTTCAACCTGTATCAAGTTCTACAGAATTTACTGTGTTTTGGGGAATATTTGTTTTACTTTAGGTTCCATAGTATTTCATTAGTTATATGCCATAATTGGGTCAGTAATTTCTCATTTATTGGGCATTTAGTTTGATTCCAACTTTTTTGCTGTTAGGAATAATTTTTTTGTGCAGTTAGGTCTTTTCTTGATGTCAGTAACCTCTTTAAAGGATAAAACCAGTAATAGAATCATTGGGTCAAAGTATAGGAAATAATTTGTAATGTTCTTAATTCCAAGTAAGAAGTAAGTTATTGTGCTTATTTTTGGATATGCCCTGCCATCCATTGCCAATCTGTTACTTTATGTTATAGTATTTGATTCTCCCAACAACATTGTGAAGAAGATGATTTCCCTGTCTTACAAATGAGGAAACTTAAGTTCCAGAAAGTATCTGAGGCAGGATACTAAAGCTGCATTTCTCCTATCAGACATGTGGTACTATTTCTCAAAATAGTAAAGGAATGAGGATGGCTGTCACTGACAACTTTCTATAGCATATTATACATTCTGAAACTACATAGCTCTTTTGAGTGGTGCAAAAATAGAAGATCCTAATATGTGTGTTTGTTGGTTATGAGAAAGCACTGACTTGGTAGAGACAAAAATGATGCTTCAAGGGCTCTTTTCTAACCAAGATATCTGCCGTGCATATATTAAAAACAGACTGGATTCATTTAGAGACACCACCATCAAAATTACTTTGCTCAGCAATCTTGTAATTATCAGATTCAGGTGAGCATAAGCTAGATTTGCTTACTGTTTGAGTGATGTTATCTCTGATCCTTCTTCCTTGGCCACATTTTAACATTGTATACACTTCTCTGAAGGTCCTTAAGTTGTAAATTGTCTATCAGTCAGGCCATACTATTTTGTTATATTGTTCCCTGTGGAGTATTGTACTCAATGTTGTGGAAAGATAAAGGAAGAAATGGAGATACAATACCTTTCATTTAAATC